ACTAAGTGTCTTGCACACAACTACACTTAGCCACCACGAGTGTCTTGCACACAACTACACTCTCTAGAGTACTTTTGCGCATAGCTTATACTCTCAGAGTTACAAATGACGGTAATTGCTTTTCCCTCCAACTCTTTTTGAGACTATTTAGACTAAGTCTCTTTTCTAAATATTTCAATGAATATTTTGACTTTGAAGATTTTACTTAATTTGCACTTGTATTCTTGTTGCTCTTTTCTGCACGCCCATGTTGATCTTCAAGTCTTCATGCATTTATATAGTAATCAAATGTATCCGTTGGAGAGGGATAATTTGATTTTTGAAATTTGAATCTTATAGCCTGATATTGTTTGACAATATGAGATCTTCAATTTGATTGATTGCCAACTTGTATCTGACAAGATAATATTTTTTATCAAACTTGACTTTCAAGTTGTTTCAAAAAAAATAATATCTTCTTCTTCTTTGATCACCAACGTCTCGCTGGCAAGAATTAAATCTTCTGACTTGATTTTCAAGTTGTTTCTAAAGATAAGATTTTCTCCATGCCTCCATGTTCCTCAACTTGATTCTTGTCATATGGATAATATTAATATTACCTTTTTGATCATATCTTCAGGCTTCTTGGTACTTGTGAAATATCTTAGGTGTTAAAATACTTAACACATGTTGCTTCAATGACTCATTCGAATTATTTAGGAATCCCCCTTTCACATTTTGTTTGAAGTAAATAAGATATCGCCTTGTCATATCTTTGCTTATAATGTACAACTTCTTGCTTGTTTGACCGTGCATCTCTTGTGCATTTAAGCTTCTTGCTTGAAATGAGATACATCTAGCTTATTTTTGCACTTCTTGCTGGATGCGAATTAGCCTCATCTCGCTTGTTTGGTCTTCTTGCTTATTTGACCATGACTTTAAGCGAAGTTTATTAATTTGGCTTTCTCAAAAATCTTTAAGTTGTTAAGGAGATTCAATCCTAAGTGTAACCAATAAGTGCAAAGTCTTCTACCATAACACTAATAACTCATTCAGTTAATCATTGTGAAAACAATGTTTATCAACTGATCTCCATAGCGAATACTTGCATGACCAAAATTAATTTTTTCAAATTAATTTTGTTCTTCTATAATTCCTAGCATGTAGTAGACTTTATCTCATGACTTTATTTTTGGCTTGACTAATTGTACTATAATGCTTATATTACAATGAATAAAAAATTATGGGGATCTAAAATATATTTGGCTCATCAAAACTATATTACAAAAATATTCCTATCAGTATTTACCACAAAATATTTCTATTACATCACTGTTCATCACAAACTATCCATCACAAACATCAGAATTTTACAATTCCAACTCCCATACATCAGAAAAGATTAATTTTGCTTTTATGTACTTAGACTACCAATTTTTTATTCAATGGCCACATAATAATATTTGTTGCATATTTTGCTCTCAGAGATGCAATGAATTCATTTTATAAATAAGATAATGGAAAAGTAATTAGATATGAGAGGCAAAATCTGTAATATGAAACAGAGTTGAATATTTGTGTACTTATATCTTCTGGACTTCCTGTGAACCCAGGATTCCAATCCTCTACTGTTGTCCACTTGTCCCTTATAAGTTTTCATATGCCTCATGCAGTAATGCCACAATCGACTGCGTTGTCTTCGATTTTCCATGGCATATTCATATAATCCACTTGCCTAGTATAGTAATTTTTCTATATCGTAATGAATTTATATATATATATATATATATATATATATATATATATATATATATATATATATATATATATGTTGGTTCCGTTGGTTCGTAGAAAAACAAATAATAATCAAATTAAAAATAAGATTATTATTTTCTAAAAAAACAAGGAAGGAAAGATGGAGAATTTGGCTAGTGTTTGGTGTTGGGTTTTTGCAAGAGTCAAGCGATCACTCTTTCCTTAAAACCTTATTTGCCACCTCCCAAAAGTGCTAGGAGCTTCGTAGCCTAGGCTTCCCAGGATAAAACTTGCTTGTGATTCAATGTTTGAGCACCCAAACAAATGAATCCAGCGAACAAAACAAGGCTATGAACACAGTAGGCAAAGAAAGAGTAGAAGCAGAGAGTTTTGAGGCTGGAAATTATACTTTCTTGTTGTGTAAAATTTCTGCTGCCCAACTCTTTCTTATATAGGGGTTGAGGAGTTGAATAGCTTTTAATATAGGCATTTAAGGGCACCCCTACAACTCCTGTAACAGCAACCATTACCATGGATTTTAATTCAAATTGGGATTAATTCCATCCCGTAACAGCTGAATTAAATCCCAACAGTCACATTAGGAGCTTCCGCCGAACTCTCGGCCTAGGCAGGTTGAAACTTAGAGTTTCGGCCATGGCTACCAGGCCGAAACATTCCAGAGCTTCTGACCATGGTAGGCCGAACTCTCGGCCTAGGCAGGCCGAAACTTAGAGTTTCGGTCGGCCATAGCTACCAGGCCGGATTTCCAGTACAGTTTCGGTCATGGTGGCCAAAACATTCCAGATTTCCAGTACAGTTTCGGTCGAACTCTCGGCCTAGGCAGGCCGAAACTTAGGCTACCAGGCCGAAACATTCCAGAGCTTCAGACCATGGTAGGCCGAACTCTCGGCCTAGGCAGGCCGAAACATTCCAGAGCTTCAGACCATGGTAGGCCGAACTCTCGGCCTAGGCAGGCCGAAACTTAGAGTTTCAGTACAGTTTCGGTCATGGTGGCCGAAACTTCCAGTGGCAAGATTATGATACCGAAGTCTGGCATAACTTAGCCCGCAAGGCCTGCCAATTTCCGGTGCGCACATGAGCAAGCCTTTCGATCTCGTTTCTAGTTGGAATTTGATTTGCACACCCCACCCCCCGGCGCGAGAGAGCCTCTATGCTATACAATTCTACAAGCTCCAAAAGAGCTCGTGTATATAAGGGGGGGCAAATCCTCTTTCCAAACTAATGTGGGCCAAAAACTCACTTTTTCCCTTCATTTTCCAACTCAAATGGGTCTACTTTGAGAATAAATATCTCATTCACCCATTATCCGTTTTGAGCGTACAATATATCAATCTCTTCGTCTCACTACGAAGAACCCGAATCCACTTTGACCCGATCCAAATCGGAAGTGGACCCCACTGATAATTGTACCACAAAATAGCTACTTAACATGCCATTTTATGCCATTTTAAGCTATTTTTTTCAACAATATATATATATATATATATATATATATATATATATATATATATATATATATATATATATATATATATATATATATAACACTATGGAGTACTAATATAGTAATATATATATAAAGAAAAAAATTGTTTAAGAAATTTCAAATTTGTAGCTTTTCAGAAATACTTTTGAATAAGGCGTGAATCGGCAACAAAATCCCTATAAATACACATTATTTCACACATTCCACCCTCACTACACTACTGTCTAGGCTTCTTAGTTTCTTTCGACTATATAGAAAACCATGAATCTAGCAACAGCGACATCCATGTTGATTTTAATTTTCTTTTTGGTTATTGCCGCAAGTGATTATTTCATTTACAAAAATTATTAATAGCAGAAGTTATAATATTAGATTCATAATGTAGCATATACTTGTGGTACTATACAATAATGCATGCAGGTGCTGAACCACTGGAGAAATCCTTATATAATTCATCATTGGTAGAAGAGCAAGAAGAAGAGCTAGTGCCGGCCATGGGAACGACGGTGGAGTATAGAGATATAGGCGGTGCCTTTGAGCGACGGCGACTAGCGCCATTCCAGCAATGTCAAACATGCTCATGCTGTAAGACATCCAATCCCAACAGCTGCACCAATGTGCCGTGTTGTTATGCTCTCAAATGCAACCTTCCTGGCAAGCCTCCGGGCACTTGTGCCTTGGTTCCTGTGGCTTGCAATCAAGGTTGCAAAATACATTAGGCGGCCCCTAGGCACCTAGGCGCCGATTTTTTAAATTTTTTTATTTAAAAAAAAAAACTAAAAATTATAAAAATTCATTAATAAAACATAAGGTTCCCATAGTTATTTTTTATAAACTATTTACGTAAGTAGTTGTAAATACATTTGTTTGTTTTGCATAGATCTCGAAAAAATACGTGATTTCAAAAAATAATTTGTCCAAAACGAACAACTGAGTCAAAAGTTATACATTTCCGAACTTTTCACAACTTACACAAAAAAATAAATAAATTAATTAATTAATTAAAAAAATCGCCGGTTCAGCCGGCTGCCTAGCCGCCCGGCCGCGGAAGAGGCCGATTTCGGCCTTCCTCGCCGCGGCCGGGCGGCGCCTAGGCACAATTTTTACAACATTGCTTGCAATTGTAGCAATTATATTGCAGCTAATATATGATTGTATTTTATTTCATAATTATTTACAGAAAATTTTAAAATAAAATTTATCATTGAAATATCAAAAAAAGAACATTTGTAGTGGTGAAACTAAGTATTCAATTCAATGTACGACCTATCAATTTAAAATTACTTGTATTAGCCTTCTGCGTCATTCAAATCTTCTTTCTTCCTTATTTTCTTTTAATGTATAATTTTTTTTATATAATTTATAATTGATTACTGTACGTTTAATATGACTTTTAATATAAGCATAACTACAGAAGTGGCCTGACAATTTGTGTTAATAATTACACAAGACGCGTGCATGAAGCCTAAAAGGTAGGGAGACAATGAAATTTTAAAAATTAACATACACACTGATGAACTACGGTTAATCACATTAAAGAAGAAAGCACTGGTGGATTGAGATTCAGTGAAGTTTTGTACAGAGGTTGTGTTACATTCATTACAGAAGCAAAAGAAAAGAAGATGAAGCTTTAAGCTACTGTGATTGGTAGTTATAACTAACTATTTGGTGAAAAGACATAAAAGCCCTTAAGGCTAATTGCTATGTTTTGTCATCACACCATCAAGCTGCTGCTGGCTTCTGCTGTGTGCTTTTGCTATCACTTCATCACCCCCTCGTAAGACGGAGCATGAAGATCCTGAAGGCTCAGCTTAGCATGAAAGATATTAAACAAAGGAATAGGCAAGGCCTTAGTAAAACCATCTGCTATTTGTTTATGTGAAGGAATGCTCACCAATTTCACCACTCCTTGGACCTTTTGTCTCACTACATGACAATCAATGTCAATGTGTTTAGTACGCTCATGGGACACATGATTCTCTCATATAGCCACAGCTGAATTGTTATCACAAAATAGAGCAATGGGATTTTTGTTTTCTGTCTTCAAATCTACCAACAGATACAACAGCCATTGTACTGAAGTTCACAGATAGTGGAGGCCAAAGCCCTATACTCTGCTTCAGATGATGATCTGGACACAGTGGCTTGCTTCTTAGTCTTCCAAGATATAGGAGACTCCCCAAGGTAAATCCAGTACCATGTAATGGACTTTCTGGTTTCTGTGCAGGTAGCCCAGTCTGAATCAGAAAAGCCTTGAAGTTTGAGGCTAGACTTTGAAGCATAGAACAGTCCTTTTCCAGTAGAGCCTTTGAGGTATCTCAGTATTCTATGTGTTGTAGCTAAGTGTGTGTCTCTTGGCTTGTCAACAAACTGACTGAGCTGCTGAACACTGTATGAGATATCAGGCCTAGTGTTGGTCAAATAGAGCAGCTTTCCAACCAATCTTCTAAAGATCTCAGGATTGCCCAGTAGGGTGCCTTCAGTATTGTTGAGTCTTGAGCCTGGAGTGCAGGGAGTTTTAGCAGGCTTGGCATCTAGGAAACCATTTTCCTCCAAGATCTCCAAAGTGTATTTCCTTTGATAGAGGTTAATGCCACTTGAAGTTCTAAATGCTTCAATTCCTAGAAAATAATTCAATCTGCCAAGATCTTTAATTTTAAGCTGTGTTTTGTCGTCACACCATCAAGTGCTGCTGGCTTTTGCTACTATCACTTCATCACACACTATTGAAGTTGTTTAGGTGATCCCCTAAAAAAAGAAAAAAAAAAAAAAAAAACAAAAAAACAAAAAACAAAACAAAACAAAACAAAAAAAATCGCTCAAAAGAATGTCATCTTGAGCGAAAAAATCAATTAAAAAAATGTTTCGCCAACTTGGTAGTTTAGAGCCGAGTTGGATGACTCGACCACCTAGGCCGACTAGCAACTGCCTACACCCCTTTTGCCTCAATCTAGAAGTGCCTAGCGCTTAGGCAGTCGCCTAGCCTGATTTTTACAACACACACACACACACACACACACACACACACACACACACACACACACACACACACACATATATATATATATATATATATATATATATATATATATATATAAAACAAACTACCTCACAAAAAATCAATCTACCCTCAAAATACCAATAAGTGTATACTATTTTTTTTTTAACAATTTGACTTTAAAAAAAAAATCAATTTATGCCTTCTGAAATTTTAACTATGATTAGGTAGCCCGCCTCTTCATCCAATATATTATCTTGACTTAGGGTTCATTTGAAAACACGAAAATTATTGTTTTTTTTGGAAAATGATATATGGATAATGATTATTTTATGATTATTAATTATTTATTAATGCTAATAATTATTGTTTATACATATACCAAAATAAAATTATATATAAATCAAAAGATGGAGCAAAAATCCACTTTTAGTGATCGATTATTGTGGAATTGTTGAATTTTGTTATATTCATGTATTTTTATCTTATTACAATCTTGACTTTTATTTGTTATCACAATTAGTCATTCATTTAAATTTTTTCCATTTCACCATATAATAAGATATGGCTAAAATTTAAGTAGTACATTGTAATAAAGTCAATAGTGCTGAAAAAAAAAAAAAAATCTCTTGCCCGACATGTAACTTCTATCCCTCTCTTGTAAAGTCTTTTAATTGAATGATTAAATTACATGTTAACTATATTTATTAAATTTGGAAGAAAAAAATTTTAAATAGAGGATCAGACAAATTATGACAAGTAAATGAAGTCAACTTGCAATGTGCCAAAATTAAAAGATTAAGTATAAATGTAGTAATGCGACAATAATTGGGGACTAAAAGTGAAATTTTTCTTAAAAAGATGTAAACAAATAATATTTAACTTTTAATTTATTATAATTAAAATAAATTTATAAATTGAAAAGTATAATAATTTTGAACTAAAGAAATTGAAGAATAATATTTATCTTTTAAATGTGGACCGAGTGGAGCCAAAAAATTTTATTGTTTGGCTCGGCTTGATAAGACCCAACTCATACTTAATAAGACATCAATAAATATAATAATTCTGAACTAAATTGAAGAAAATTTTTATTTAAAACAAAAATTGTTGTTGTGAGAGTCCAAGATCTTTTTTTTTTTTTTTTTTTTTTGTTGTTGTTGTTGTTCTGGCTCAACCTAATCCACAATCCTCTACTGATGTCTCCTTATAAGTTTCCATATGCCTCATGCAGTAGATGCCACAATCAATTGCGTTGTGTTCAATTTTCCATGGTATATTCATATAATCCACTTGCATATTTTTCATCCTTCTGGCAAGGGGATTTCTTTTGAGTTTGAGGTACTTTGTGAATGCAGTCACTTGTAGAATATAGTTATAGAAGTGTTTAATTAATTCGAGAACTATAGATACTAAATTTTAAGGATGTAGATACAAAACATTAGTACAAGCATATCTTACTAGTTTTTTTTTTTTTTTTTTTTTTGGACAGTCCTGGTACTTATTTGCATTTGATACTCCTCTCTTCAATGCTTTGTTGTCAATCACTTGAAGCTTTGAATTTAAGAAATTGAAGCACATGAGGAAGTAATGGTCATGACGCAAGATGTTGAAGAAGATCTGTTATGAATAATTGCAAGAAATATAATACATTGTATTATGTAAAGAATTCAGATTAATAATGTCCAGAATTCAGATGAATAATTAGGGTAAAGGGATTTTATAGTTACAAGTTTTACATCACTTATATCAACAGAAATTGCATTCAACTGTACATCCAGATTTTCACAAAATTTTGTTACATTTGAATCAGTGGCTCTAGACTTCATCCATTCTACCGTTAATTCTAGTTCCATCTGTAAAGAAGTTGTTGATTGTTATATAATGAGTAAAAGACAATTTTTGTCCTAGATTTATAGTGGCTTGGACAATTTTAGTCTTTTATAAAAAAAATTGCCATTTTATGGACAGAGTTATTGTGGCGAGGACATTTTTGGTCCTCCGTCTATATTTCTGTTAGATAACCGTATGAGAGAGGGGCAATTACGTCAATTTAGGCTATCTCTTTATTGTGAGATGGATGATTTTGGTCCCACAACCATGCATTTACTCTGACCCTCATTTATTTGTAGTTTTGCACTACGAAATGCTCTGCCCACAACCATGCCTTTACTGCAACTTGGACTCTCCGACTCCTTCGAATTATGACAGAGAAGAAAACAAAACACACATAGATATAATAGATAGAAGGAGATAGCCTAAATTGACGTAATTACCCCTCTCTCAGACGGTTATCTAACAAAAATATAGACGGAGGACCAAAAATGTCCTCGTCACAATAACTCTGTCCATAAAATGGCAAAATTTTTTTATAAAGGACTAAAATTGTCCAAGCCACTATAAGTCTAGGACCAAAAATGTCTTTTACTCTTATATAATGCATTGTTGTAAATATTCCAAAAAAAAATTTTTTTTTTTTTTAAACTTAGATTAACATGTTTACTTACCTAAGCAACATTTGAGAAAAAGACCTCTCTGATTGATCAATTGCTCTTTTAAGATTAACCATATTCATCCGGTAGCACCAAATCTGCAGTATGTTGGTTGACAACTGCCCCTTTGCCAATGTGCCAAAGTCTTCCATTGTTGCAAACAAATCCTTTGCTGTAAACAACATTCCACGGCCAAAAAAAAAAAAAAAAAAAAAAAAAGAATTTAAATAAATAAATAATAATAATAATAATAAAGAATAAAAAATAAAAAATAATAATAATAATAAATACAATATTTTAATTTGTGTAATTAATGAAGCCTGTGAATTTAGAAGGTTTAGAAGAATTACATACAATTCTGAGTAGTCAGCACTGGCTTGCATAAATGCATTGTCCAGTATGGTGATCTTAAGTTCAACGGTAGTTGATTAAACTTTCTTTGTGGTCTTTTCCTCTCCTGGACATCCTCAATCTCATTCTTAGATTCTTCAAAAATGCTGAGTAGATACAGAATTCAGATAATAAGGTACAGAATTAATACTCGGCATATACAGAATCTCATTACACAAGGTACAAAATTAAAACTCATAATGTACAGATTTGACCTCTTACCTGTACCTATCTAGGTATGTAAGCTTTAAAAAAAACGGTCAAAGTACATATGAGGTCCCTGTACTATAGTCTTTTGTTCAATTTAGTCCATCTACTTTAATTTTGTTTAATTTAGTCCCTGTACTTTAAAAAGTGAAACAATTAAGGACAATAGCTGATATGGCGTTGACATCTTATCTGTCACGTTATCATACTTACATGCCAACTCATATATTATTTTATAAATATTTAAAATTACTTATTTTTACCACCAATATATTACATAATATGTCCAAAATAAATACAAAAATATCTTTTTCAAAAAAAAAAATACATAAATATCAATTATTGTCCTTAATTGTTTCACTTTTTAAAGTACAAGGACTAAATTGAACAAAATTAAGGTAAAAGGACTAAATTAAACAAAATGCTATAGTACAGGGATCTCATAGGTACTTTGACCAAAAAAAACACACACAAAGAAGACATATAAGCTAGTATTATTTTTTACATATAATGCACATAATTCATATACATAATGCACATAATTTCAGAATATAATGTACAGAAATTCTCAACATAAGACATATAAGTATCATGTATTGTTTCTCTACTGCCAATATGTATTATGTACAGAAAGTTTACCATTAAGATGCATAATTCATATAAAGAAGACGCATAACTTCACAATACAATGTACAGAAATTCTCAACATAACTACCTATATGTGTTAGGCACAGAAATTATATAAATAAGACACATACTTTTTAACACATGATGTACAGAATTTAATAGTAATGTGTACCGTTAAGGGAGTGGTAGGTCCAGTAAATGCCCCATCTTGTTTCCTCTGCCATGTTTCTATAGTGTCAAGGAGACATTTGATGATGTAACCACACCAATTGATATCCTTGATTTTATCAACATTGATTAGTGAATGGAGGATCTTGTAGTTACAGAAATTGTTCTTGTATCCCTTAATGAGTGTGGAAACAGTGAAGATCACAAAATCGCTTTTAAACATTTCCTCATGATCTCGCCTTTCTACAATGTTGTTGAGCATTTCAGTTGTTGATGGCGTTCCTTTGTCTATCCCCCAACGCTCTCTCCGTGTATTAACCAACTCTTTGTACTCATTGGTTTCATTTGAACCATTGCCCTCTGTCACAAGAATTTGTCCTATGGCATCATTCTCGTGTTGAAGTACTTGACTTGTTTTGGTTGATCCTCTCTTTCTTGCTCTTTCCTTGCCCATTTGGGTGCTCGTTTAGCCAGGTCATCGTGTTTAGATTTGCTTCTTTTTTTTCAGCCCTTTGTGGCTGGTCATCATTCGTAGATTTGGATCTCAGCCCTCTGTGGCTGCTCTGTGATAGCCACTGAAGTAGATGCATCACTTTTCTTTCTTTTGTACATTGGTGTATTTCTTTTAGTGTAGGATTGCTGTTTGAGGGGCTTGACATTGCTGCAATAATTTTAAATGTAATGTATATTAACATTATGTATAAACAATTATACCACTCAGGTACAAAATTATTGTTCATAATATAATGCACAGAATTATATAGATGAGGACAAATAAACTCTTAACATAATACACATAAACATAAATATAAACAATATCATTTGTCTACTTAGGTACAGAATTGAAATTCATAATGTACATAATTTAAATTCATATTGTACAGAATTATATAGTTGAAAACACAAATTCTTAACATAATACACATAAACATAAATATAAACAATATCATATCATTTCTGTCTACTCAGGTACAGAATTGAAATTCATAATGTGCAAAATTATATAACTGAAGATACATAAACTCTTAACATAATAAACATAAGTCTAAGCAATATCATTTCTGTCTACTCAGGTATGGAATGTAAATTCATAATGTGCAAAATTATATAGGTGAAGACATAGACTATTAACATAATAGGCATAAACATAAGTCTGAGAAATATCATTATTGTGTTACTCAATTGCAGAGTTCATCATAAGGCACAGAATTATATAAATGAAGACACATAAATTCATAGCATACTACACATGTTCTGTTTGTACTTATTTTAAAATATCATCTGCAATATATGCTTTATATATTAGATCACATAGTGTCTAAGATTTGTAGAGAGTGAAAATTATATAACCTAGTTAACTGAAAATGGTTATTAATGTTAAATTTCATGCCAATGTGGATAAATTATGTTGAGTTATCTTTTCTCCTAAAGAACATATTCGCCAAGGTGGAAATTGTTGAGTTTGTCTCATATATGGATTAGAAATATGAGTTTGTCTCATACTAGGAGTAGAAGAGAAACGGGTAGACATATTGTACAGAGATTAGATGCCTATAAATATATTAGTTGTATCCCTAAGGGGTTGTGTCACCACTATCATCATCACTATGAATAAGAGTATTGTTTCACTCCCGTGGATGTAGACACTTTGCCAAACCACGTAAATCTTGCTCTTCTTTATCTTTTCTGCCATTATTATTTTTCTTGTTCTTGTTAATTTAATCTCAACAAATTATGTCATTAATGTTCAATTGCATGCCATATTTACAGAAATTATGAGTTATTTTTCAAATATCATACTTTTTCGAACTTCAAACAAATAAATGTTTGAAGGTTCACCTTTTCTTTTGTTTGAATGCTCTGAATGTGTTCAGTAAGTCTTTAACAAGCAAGTCATTGAGTAGAGAATGCTTATTCCTTGTTGTTTTGTTGTTATTGCGAAGTATTTCTGCAGTGATTTTGCTCTTTGAATTGCAAATGAAAGGAATTTCGTGTGAAAGAAGATGACTTCCTTTTATATTTAATTAAAAAAAAATGTAACGGGATTGGACGGATGGATCGGCGTCCGTCGCGTCAACTTCCCTCCACTTAATGAAACGACATCGTATTGGACCACTGTGAACCCTGGTCCACAATATAACAATCGTACATAATAATGTCTACATAATGATAATATTTATAACAAAAATATATATTTTTTATAACTATAGAACACTGTATAAACCATGATACACATAAAAATTCGCCATAATCCAAAAGGCAAGTATTAAATGTGACTTTTCAATACTCTCGCACCCTCTTCTTATCTTAGAAAAAAAATGAAAGTAATCTGGATGAGAACTGAATAAATTGTATTGAATGAACTTGATTACAACTGTACAGACAAGGAGAATATATACCAGAGGAATCATAAGGAGACTATAATAGGGAGTCATACTACGACTCAAATACAATAATCCTAATCTTAGTCCTAATACTCCCCCTCCAGCACATGGTATACTTGTAACTTGTAGCTTGTCTCTAAGAAAAGAAAATCTAGGACCAGGCAATGTTTTGGTAATATGTCTGCAAGTTGATCTTTTGTTGAGGTGAAATTGACTTGAATTTCTCCAGCAGTAACTCTATCTCGCACAAAGTGATAATCTATCTCTACGTGTTTGGTGCGAGCATGAAAGATGGGATTGGCACACATATACGTAGCTCCAAGATTATCACACCATAATTTTGGAACTGAAATACTTGGAACATGAATTTCTCGTAGAAGGGACACGATCCAAATTTCCTCAACACAAACATCTGCTAGAGCTTTATATTCAGCCTCAGTGGAAGATCTAGCAACAGTTCTTTGCTTCTTGCAGACCCATGATATAAGATTAGACCCAAG